GTGTCTGGGCTCTCTGAGCTAGGCCCTTGTGTAGTATCTGTTCTTCGCAATGAAATTTCTTCAACAGTCACTAAATGGAAACCAACGAAATCTCTCGTAATTCTGTGAGCTCGCTCAACACCGTTAACGGAACAGCCTTGTGTTGCTAACTTTTCGAGGTTTATTAGTAAGTCATCGCGTACGAGTTAGCGAGCAACAGCCGTTTAGAGACGTCAAGAAGATCGAAAGCTGTGGGCAACCTCACATCAAGCAATCTGCCACAGCGGACAAACATGCTGGTGCAAATATTAAGATGCCCACGAAGTGAGCTTCGACGCAAGACATTACTGACGAACGCCCTCGAGCAGTAAATCAAAAAATGTCTACGGTCCTCACAGAACTCGTTGTACGACAAAACACATTACGAAGGACTGGGGGTGCAAATTGGAGGCCGTCTGATGCCAAGTAATTTGTTACTAAGCTCATAATGCAACAACTGTGTCAATTCAGTCGTATCAGTGTCACAGGTAACACGCAAAGAGTGAATTCCTATAGCTATGACTTGACCCAAATGTGATTAACCTCACGTATTTCGGTGGGGCCTCGTAGCTCGGATGGCTAGAGCGTTGACTGTACTAAAGCTTTCTTCTTCCTGTCGTGGGTTTGAATTCCAACGAGGCGCCGTTTTCACAATTGGGTCAATATGAATTATTCAAGACCCGACAAAACATTTATGAAAAACACGGCCTACTAAAACAAATATAGTAGTTAGTTACATAAATTAAAGTCAGAGGGGCAAGCAACCTTCAGGATTGGGTATGACTGACTAACGACGGCTAACAAGCCAGAAGTGGCTATTTGAGTCTCCCTTGTCTTTGTCGGTGATGCTATTTTGCCTATAATACGCACCGCTGTGCGGCTGCTGGTTGGCCTAGAGAGAGAGAGGGAAAGCCCCAAGGTACAGCGGGACGAGTGAGCTCCTTAACACCACTGTTTATACCCGATCGCAATCGACAGGACAACGAGCCCGTGGCTCAGTAGTTAGGGGTGCGGGATCGACTCCCAGGTGTTCCACACTTCGGGGTTGAGTATGACTGGATGACGGAGGCTAATAATGCTGCAGTGTCCACTCTAGCCTCCGTTGTCTTTGTCGGTAATGCCCTTCAGCCTATCCTTACCCTAGATTCAGTATCGACCTCATATTTCTTATTCGCTTAAAGTCGTTCATTATCACTTCGAAGCCTTATTTCACAATTTCATTCAGTTTGCAAGTGATTAGCAATCTTTCGTAAATTTCGGCACATTTAATAAAATAGGCCACGTACTGCCTATGGTATGGGTGAAAGAGTGCCCTTCTCCGGGCCCCAGTTGCGACGCGCCTTTCGCGAGTACTTGCGCGTGCGCACCAGTGGTTTTCCGCCAATCACAATTGTCCAAGGCGGCCAATCAGGTATGCTCTCGCTCAAGGCGACGTGACGCATTCTCCAGTCTCTCGGGGCGCCGCTTTATCAGCGCCATCCATGTGTTCTTGTCCGGCTGCCAACTCAGTCCAACCGATTCTCCAATCTTCCCGTACAGAATACAGTATCCTCTCAACTGTCGTTCAACACCTCGTTCTATTCATGACCGTGTCTGGAAGTCTTAGTGGCTATGTCCTGCCTATAGCTTCAACGGTTGCGACAAGAGCACATGCGCTTATGAGGAACGCAAAAAAATGAATATTTTTATGCATGTTTTCCGTGAAATATAATTGAATGTAAAAGGATATCGAAAATCAATGATAAAAATTCATGCTACTTAAGTAATTGTTTTTTACAGTGTAATTTTTGCATGCAGCCGAAAGGGAGTTCATTCGAAAGCTGGCATCCTGAGTTAAGCGACATATTATAGACTTATGTTGCAGACTGACTAGTTTTACAACCCCACTTAATTAATCTTTTCGAAATGAAAACGCATTTTGGAATTTCGATTGACATTTTGTGAGTTAGCCTACCTACTGTTCACTGCCGCATGTCTCAGTGCTGTCATCGGACTTTGCGGCATTTTATTAGACAGTCGGCGTGCCAGACCTCAGCCCTCCGCACCCTGGTAGCACTGTCGCTGCTAGTCTGCAACTGCTTTTTCGTCAGACCTGAGAGCGAGCTTATTTCGCCCATAACCTTCACTGAAGCCCATTCCACTTTTCGTCACCGCGCAATCAGCAGCTAGGCTAACGAGTAACCCGCCTTTCGGAGTCTGGGTGTGGATTATGGCGGGCCAATAAAAATAAACAAGCCATAAGTGGCCGTTCGGGTTCCTTTAAGCTGATAGGTGACACCACCCAGCTACTGAATGGTTCTCGCCATGCTGCCGCCTGTGCGGGCTTCAAACTCCGGGCTCCAGAGTAAATGGGAAGCGGTCGTATCCGTTCGGAAACCAGGATATATTGATGAATGCCACCTCGGTTTACTAAAAATCCCAAACCATGTGCCACGTTCCCATTTGACTGTGGGTTTGCGCAAATCACTGTAGCTAATTTTTGCAGCAACAACAACAACAGCTGAACTAACTTACAGTGAGTGACCGATCTCATGAAATGTTGGCTGAAATTCTGAAATGCGTTTTCGATTAGGAAGGATTACTTAAGCGCAGTTAAATACTGATTATCTTGCAGCATAATGCCATAATATTTCAGACTCGGCAGAATGTCAGCTTTTTAATATACTGCTTTTCAAACTCCTGTAGAAACCGTACTCGGCAAAAAATTGCTACTTATATGCATGCATTTTTCCCATTGATTTTCGATGGTCTTGCAAATTCAAATATACTTTATAGAAACCCCCAAACAAAAATATGCTTCCTTGCAGTCGTTCGATAGAGAATCGCGGCATCTTTATATTTTATGCTCGGCGATAGAGTATAATTAGGTTTGGAAAAGTTTTCTAATTTCCGAATAATTTGGAGCTTGATCAGTCGTCGCACTAGCGCCTAGTGATTTAAGCCTGCAAGGTGCATGCGTGCCGCGTAAAGAAAATCGCATCTTCTTCTATGCCTTTAAAAATACATCACATAGAGTCCATAAAATTTTGCAATGGATGCGGACTATGTTGTAAATTTCATGAGAAGCAGTGGCAAACGGACAGGTACCATGGTGTATGAATGGACATTGCGCGGTTTTAAAAAATGATAAGAAACTTTAAAACCTAATTATGCTCCTTCTTCGATTGTAAAATATAAAGATGACGTGATTTTCTATCGAACGACTGAAAGAAAGCATATTTTTGTTTGGCGTCTCTATCAAATATGTTTGCATTTTCAAGACCATCGAAAATCGATGAGAAAAATGCATGCCACATAAGTGGCCATTGTTTACCGAGTACGGTTTCTACGGGAGTTCGGCAAGCAGTGTATTCAAATACTGAATTCCTGCTGAGTCCTAAATATTGTAGAATTATGCCGCAATATAACCAATACTACAACCGCCACCAAGTAATCCTTCCTAGCCGAAACCGCATTTCAGAATTTCAGCCAACACTTCATTAGATTGGTTACTCACTGGAGATCTTGACCGAATTCCATAATTAGTCGACGAATCCTGCGTGTTGGCGTCGTGTTCGATTGCACGTACTGCATGTGAACCGCTTCTCTTAGGACCGAATTCGTCTTTCCGCCGACCGTTTAGATGTCAGTGGAGCCATACGCGTACAGACGCAACCGCTCTTGAAAACAAGCAAGTCAGTGATTACAGTAGATGTGCTATTTCACGAAATGCTAACCGGGATTCAGAAATGTGTTTTTTGATTCGAAATGACGACTTAGGCAGGGTTGCAATATTGATATCGGGCACTTCAAGATGCCGACTTTTGAGCGACCTCATTTTCCACCGTCTGCGAAAACTAAACCCCGCAAAGATGACTACTAAAGCAGCACGAATTTTTCACATTTGTTCTCAATGCTTTTATAAATTTCAACATATTTTATAGAAATCATTATGAAAGCATTCTTCTTTGTACTTATTTGTTAGGCAATTACGTCTTCTTCAAATTTTGCACTTGAAGTAAGGGTATTTTTATTTTTAAAATTTCTAATTAGTAGATTTCTAGACCGCAAAATAGCCACTCGTGCAGCACTACGCCATCACGTTTCTTGGTGCTGCTTGTAAAGGGGAAGAACATGGTCTACGCCCATTACCAAATCTTACGAGCGCGTAGAAATGTACGATTCCCCTTACACGGAAAGTATATAGACTGTAGTTTAAAAACCCCGAATGCAACTGTGACGGCGTATCGGGTTTATGATTATTCGGGAGTTGGAAACGTTTTTAAACCAAACGGTACTCTATCTACGAGTGTAAAATCTGAAGATGACGTAATTTGCTACCAAATGAGTGAAAAGAATATTTCCATGCATTTTCTTCTGTGAGATATAAGGGTGTCAAAAACACATTGGAGAATCCCATACCACTTAAACGCGATTTTTACAGAACGTGGTTTTCGTAGGCGGCCGGGGAAAAGTTCATCTAAAAGCCTCATCTTGGCGTAACTTAAATTTTTTCGGATTACACTACGCGAAAATTTGGACGACGACGCCACTCAAGCAATCCCTTCGAATTAAAGGCCTATTGAAGAATCTCGGTCAACACTTAATGAGATAGCATACCTACTGTATATGGGTCTACTTGTTTGAGTGTTGGTTCATGAGATTAAACCTCTTCGACCAAGTCGAATCAGGTGATGGCGCTTTTCGATTCTACCTGATGTCTCTTAGCCACTTATTTCCACGGAAAATTTTTGAACGATTTAAAGTCGCGTTGGGAAGAACGTGGACATTGTTATGTAAACAAACAGACAAAGGTCTTTAAAATAAACGAAACAGACAGCAGGTACAGAGAAACTCTTGAGGCTCTGGTCCAAAAGTCACAAAAGAGACAAGCTTCAAGATACCTCCTGATGAGGTTTGAAAGGAGGGCGGAAGGTATCAAAGATGGGAATGATTCTGAGTCTCCAGATGATAGATTGCACACAAAAACAAATGACGCAGTTTCAATGCAGGATTGGAAATTTGCCAGAGACTGGTTCCAACATGTCCAGGAGAAACCAGATCGCGCCGGAAATCCCTGTGGAAGACAAATGGAGAAAATGAAATAAAAAGTGTCATTATAACATTAAAAAAACGGAGGTGTAGAGTTTCCTCGATTTCGTCACAGCCTGATTTTGCAAAAATGCCTTGGGTGTGATTATTCCTGTGCTTTAACGTTAACTTAGATTAAAAAGAGAGTTTGCCAGAAGCAGATAACACCTTGACAGGATACAGTATGAAAAGATTACCCTCATACTCATACGCTTGACACGGAAATTATAGTCTCTTCAAAAACCAAGAGTTTTACATAAACAACTGGCTTAAAACGAAGGATGATTTGTGTCTGTTTGGGTGAATGATTTAAATTATTTCGACGAGGCTGTAGGTATTTAGAGGGTTCTTTGAGTAAGGTTTGATCAGTAAACATAAAAACTAGTTCATAAGAGGTTTGAGTTCTTAAAGGAAATTCGTGATGCAGGAAGTTGCTACTCTCAGGAAGGTACCTTCGAACAGTGAAAGAGGACGATCCGGGGTCCGTTCAGCATTGTTGAAGTAATCGGTACACCATTCGGCAAACTAAAGCAGACAACGTTCAGTCATATAATGTCACATGTGTGCGGGAAACGGAAGGACGAGAACTAGAATGTGCTCACGACCAGAATATACAATACAATTGGTATTTAGCGGCTACTTGTAAATTATAAGTAGATAGTTCATATTAACTCACAATTAAAACGCGGATTGCCATTGGAAATTAAAGAACAGGGAGAAATAGGGATGGAACATACCACAGCAGCTTGTTGAAGGTACTCCGACTTATGAGTGTGCTGATAGAGACTTAGGAGGGCGTATCCGTTGCCAGCAGAGCCATGACAGAGGCCACAGCCTTTCCTGAGGAGGCCGCGCTTCCAGACCTCCCTGCCACCCTTCTCTGCCTTTTCCAGATAAGATGCGTCTGAGGTTATCTACAAGATTCGGATGGAAGTTATCCTTTCACTTGGCACATGCCCCCAGTTTGAACTCAATGTTCACTGTTTAGAACAAGACCAACGACGAAAAATAGCTAGAAATGAACAGTTAACTGGTTGTTTTTCATAAAGTAATGCTATGGTATTAGGTGACAACGGGTGTATCGACTTACGCCACTGTCAGAGTGCAGAATCCAGGTCTTTTGACGAAACAAGGCGCTTAAATACTGACTCTATCGGTCGCAAGACCACAGAAAGGCACAGCGATGGCTATAAAGGTAAATGTGGGCCTACTATCTGCCGCATTCACGGTAGTTTCATGGTCAGTATTCATTGGGGATCCCGAACACGTCTCGAAGCCTTCAGACCTATTTATCAGCCAGCCAGCTGGACGGCGTCGGATGAGCATTTGGTCCAGAAGACAGAGTTTCAACCAAAGACAGGAAGATCCCCTCTGTATCCTCTGATAGCCTCCTGTACCTAATATTCAATTTATTGGTTGTTGGGGGCAGTTTGCTACCTGCATCTGATGTTTTTTCAGCTGTGTTGTCGTCAGACATTTTAAAATGTGCACAAAAATCGACACTCGTACGGTGTTTACGCTCAGTAAACGGTCTCCATGTTCGTCATTCGGTATTGATTGATGCCCATCTCTTCCACTTTCCTATGAAGCTTTTATACACGGTATCTAACTCAGTGTGCCGATTGGTGCGTGAATCATCAGTTACCTTCAAGTAGTGCTTTTGGTGTAAATGCAAAAAGCTAACTAATGGGGTGTATAACGGCTGTCGTAGTGTCTAAAGCAATTGCAGTGTCATCTTCGCTCATACCAAAATGAGCAAATTTACGAAAAATGCAAACATATGGGATGTGAAGATTTGAGATGTGGTCATCCTTTGTAGCAGTTTAACTACGCTTCCCATCACCACCGAGTTATAATTATCGCGGAGTTGCTTTAGAGATGTGTTGGATCCAAATGGGGTTCAGACAGGGTCACAAAAGGGGGTTATAGAGCTGTGCTGCGGTAATAAAAGGAAGCTGTGGAAGGCGTTGAAGAAACGAACATTTCTGGCATATGCTCATTTCACTACTCCAACAAGGTGTCGGAAGAGGAGGCGCAATTTAGAAATGCTAATTAAGAGTGCGTAAACGCACAGAAAAAAGGTAAGCCAAGGCCACTGATTAGAGAAGCCCGGATTCGGTAAGACGGTATGCGGCAAGCCAACTTAACTCTAACCGCAACCCTAATCCTAAACCTAACCTTCATCCTATTCCCAGGCCTAAACACAACCGTAGCCCTCCCATAACATGCCTACGTAAATTAAATAAGTAGGTATGTTCTTGGAATAAAGTATGAATGGAGCCACATACGCTATCCGTGCCGAAATAACCTACCCTCGGTGCAGAAGTCACTCAGGGCAACTGAAAGTCGGTGTCTTGCTTACCTCGCAGTCCAACACCTTCGAATTACAGATTACCTTGCAGTCCACGCATCAGATACTTACCTTGTGAGCCAGAAGCAGCAGCGGTATGATGCCTGGTGCCCCATGGCACCACTGAACGAGCCGATCATTGCTGTTGCCCAGGCTAGAAGGCCAATTGTAATGCTCTTCACCGTCAAAGTGTAGCTCTGACAGCCAGGTGACCGTGGGAAGGATTAAGTCATCTAGGGCTGCGTCTGGTAGGGCCTGTGGCATTTGCTGGTGAATCTGAAAAATAAGCCGACAAGCATAAAAAGGCGGCGGCAATGTATGGGGTTAGGGAGGTGGACAGAGGTGAGGAAGAAAATAAAGCTGTCAAAGAGGACTGTACCGCTGACATTCAAGAACATGTATGCCAAGAGTTCGACATGTTTTGTAATTTCTCTACCAACCCGTGATACTCCTTAAGTTCTCACATGACTGGCTGGCGGAAGTGGCCACGTCGGCCCGATCTAAAGGATGGAAAAACCAGCTTCGCGCTGAAAGTCGCGAATAACCGAGAGACCAATGTTTGCGTCAGCGGGCCAGTGAAAAGCACTTACGGGTTACTTAAAATGACGGGGGGGGGAGGTAGCACAAACGCCGGCAGGCGGTCAGGTCTAACCTTGACCTCGTCTTTTTAGAGACGTCGGGCTGCTGTCGGAACCTCAACGGCAGTGTGTGGTGCGGTAAACGAATAACCCCAACCGGCTTCTCGCTCGGGGCAGCCAGATATGCAATGAACTGGGAAATTCGGAGAAGGGTCCTTACCAGCGGGAGGCGACCGCTAACAGATTCAGCTGGGTGATCTACAGTAGGTGTGCTAACTCATGAAATGTCAACCAAAATTTAGAAATGCGTTCTCGTTTCGAAAAGATAAATTAAGTAATGTTATAAAACTAATCATGATGCGGCATAAATCTACAATGATCCAGTTACCTCAGGGTGTCGGCTTTCGAATGAACTTTTTTCGGCTGCATGCAAGATCTACACTCTGCAAAAATGACTACTTACTTAGTATGCAATTTTCTCATTGATTTTCGATGCCCCTCAAAATTCAGTCATATTTCATGGAAAACATGCATAAAAATATACATTCTTCTACTTATTCGGTAGAAAATCACGTCTTCTTCCAATTTCAGACTCAAAAGAAGAGTATACTTCAGTTTTAAAAAACTTTTCTAATTCCCGAATAATTTTGAACCCGACCTGCTGTTACAATTGCATTCAGGGTTTCAAAACTACAAGCTGTATATTTTCCGTGTACAGAAAACCATGCATTTCTCTACGGTGTTGAAAGGAGACCATATGAGGTTCTTAAAATTAAGCAGTGGATTTGAGCAATATTGTTAACTTTACAAGCCACATTCGTAAATGCAGATACATGACGTTTCATGAATGGCCATTTAACGGTATTAAAAAATCTCACAATAAGAAACTTTTTTAAAACCGAATTATACTATTCTTTTGAGTATGAAATTGGAAGAAGACGTGATTCTCTACCGAATAAACAAAAGAATGTATATTTTTATGCATGTTTTCCATGAAATATAATTGAATTTTCAAGGTCATCAAAAATCAATGAGAAAATTGCATACTAAGTAAGTAGTCATTTTTGCAGAGTATAGATCTTGCATGCAGCCGAAAAAAAGTTCTTTTGAAAGTCGACACCCTGAGGTAACTGGATCATTATATATTTATGCTGCATCATGATTAGTTTTACAACATTACTTAATCTATCTTTTCGAAACGAGAACGCATTTCGAAATTTCGGTTGACATTTCATGAGTTAGCACATCTACTGTACTCTTGTCTCAGACGTCTGACTACGCTCTCGGCTGTCCTTAAACGATTTTTGAAGCAGCAAGGAGCAGTTCCAGGGTTTGTCAACTGCGACGACGACGACGACGACGACGACGACGACGACGACGACGACGACGACGACGACGACGACAGCGGCAGCGGCGGTGGTGGTGAGTTCCAATTCCTGCTGCTGGAGAAGGCGTTAAGAGCTAATGCCTGTTGTAACCGGCCTTTTTCGACCGGCAATTTCGCATAACCGCGAACAGTCTGGTTGTAAATTGTTCAGAAAGACCTGAATTCGCTGTGACTACAAAATCCCCGACGACCGACCGACCGCTTACCACCACAAAAACAGAACTGACTGAGTTCTAAGATTTAAAACGTTCTAAAGGACCTCGATCGACCGTCGGCAGGAACGATTTCACAAAAATGACAAGGGAGACTGGGATTGCCATTTTCGACTTACAGTAGGGTAGTATTCGGTTTTAAAAACGTTTCCGATTACCGAATAATTTCGAATCCGACCTGCCATTACACTTGCATTCAGGGTGTTCAAAATACGATTTGTATATTTTCCGTGCACGGAAAGTCACACATTTATATACAGTATTAAGAGAAAACTATATGGCGTTTATAAAATTTAGCAGTGGGTTTGAAGCATGTAGTAAACTACAAGAAACATTAGTAAATGCTGAGACACGATGTTTAATGAACGGGAACTCCATCATCTTGAAAAATCTCATGATCAGAAACTTTTAAAACTCAATCGTACCCTTCCTTTAAGCATATATTTTGAAGAAGGCGTGATTTTCTACGAAATGAGTAGGAGAATGGGTATTTTGTGCATGTCTTCGATGAAATATATTTAAATTTATAAGGCCGTCGAAAATCAAGTAGAAAAATGTATGCCACCAAAGTAGCCGTTTTTTACAGAGCGTAGCCTTCGCAGGCGGCCGAAAAGAAATTCGTTCAAAAGTCTACATTCTGAAGTAACTGAAATATCTTGCGATTATGCTGCAAGATGATGTATATTACAACCCTACTTAAGTAGTCTTTTCGAGTCGAAAACGCATTTCAGAATTCCGGTTAACATTTCATGAGTTAGCACATCTACTACAGTAGCCATCGTTATTCGGACGCAGATTTAAACCAGGTTCCGGCTGCATGTTGAACTGAGCCATGGGATCAGGGCCCGTCTGCCGCGGTTTGAAATAATCAAGTTTACGTAAGAGAATGAGACAGGCGACCATCACGTTGCGAGAGGCAACGTGAGCATTCTAAATCCCCATGAGCGGAGGTATAGGGCCCTCGCGGAGTGTTCGCACGACGGTGAGCGACTAACAATCGAAGAATGGCGCAGATAAGAAGAGACAAAACTGTAATATCTGCTGGCCAGTCATGCCATAACGTCGGGCTGGGAAGATCCTCTGCCTGTTACCTTGACTGGTAGTCTACCGACCATGTCGGCAATGGTAGGGGGCGCTCACCGATCGTTCATACGGAACTCACTCGCTCCGTTGTGCCTTATGGACCCTCGCTCTCAAACCCAACCAGCAGCCGTACAGCGGCGCATGATATAGGCAGAATGTTATTACTGACAGAGACAAGGGAGACTGGAATGGCCATTTCTGGCTTATTAGCCGTCGTCAGCCAGCCATACCCAACCCCGAAGTGTGGAACACCCGAGGCTCGAACTCGCGACCTGTTTGTTAGAAGTCCACGCCTCGAACCACTGAGCCACGAGCCCGCTGCCCTGTCGGTTTTCGATCGGGAATATACAATGGTAGGGGGCGCTCACCAATCGTTCTTACGGAACTCACTCGTTCCGTTGTGCCTTATGGACTCTCTCTCTCTAGCCCAACTAGCAGCCGCACAGCGGCACAGACACGGGAGACTGTCGGTAATACCATTCTGCCTATGTTGGCAATACCTATGGTATGTGGCCTAACTCATGAAATACCGTGACCGAAATTCGAATGAGGAGTATGCCATACATTGAGTGTTCTTTTTTGTCTTTGTTGAACTGACTTGAGACGCAGGAAGAAACTTACTGAAGAGGGATTCATTTCAACTCTGTTTTATTAAGGGAAAACAGGCCAGATTTGAGCGAAATATGACCCTTCATGATATTCAGGTAATTTCCTAGGCTACTAAAACGTAAAAGCCAAAGTCTCAAAATTATGCGCATTGTGCTATCAACGAACATGAATATAAACAAGAAAAGTTAAAAATTGGAAATTTGGACTTTTATTCTAAGAGAATCAGGTGAGAGCGGATATGAGGAAATGCATCGTTTTCGAGAAAAAAGGGCGAATTAAGCTCATAAAATTCTGTTTTGTAAAGTTGCGGCGTTTAGTGCATAAAACTCAGTAATAAACTTGTTCGGCAGTCGTTTGTTCTATCACATCGAGAACTGCTAAACAAAAACGAATTTATATTGGGTACCTACAACATGTTGTCACTTTTCTCTTCACCCTTATCAAAAGACATTGACACAAGGCAAATAAGAAACTTTCAATGCAAGAAAAGTCTGATTTTTGCTAGATAACCACAGTAAACAATCCACTATAGACAACCTGGCCAGCACTATGTCTGAGAAACTTTCTGCTTAGAATATGGCATACAAGCATGGCGGCCATGGCTAGTAAAGGACCAAGCATGCCTCGAACGGGTACAACGGCGTGCAATAAAGCCGGTAAACGGTCTAAAAAGCCAATCCTACACAGACAGACTGAATTGCCTTAATTTATTCCCTCTGTGTTACAGGCAGCAAAGAGGTGATCTTATCCTCGTCTACAAGATAATACATGGCCTTGAGCATGGACTTTAATTTGAGGACATGTTTCAGTGGCACCTTTCACCAAATCTCCGTGGTCCCTCGATGAAGTTACGGGCAACAATGTCCAGGCTGAATCTTCGTTCTGAATTTTTCACGCAGAGGGTAGTGGAGAAATGGAAAGATCTTCCTCAGTCAGTCGTGGAGGCTACGTCCCTGCAACTCTTCAAGAAACGCTTGGATGATTATTTGTGTCCCCTGTTTTCCCTCGACAGTCTGAATCTGAACTAAGATCCCACGTCCCCACAAATATTTTCTCTGAACAATGCTACTCAAATGAATCAAGTACCGTTTTAATAGCGGATATTTTGTGTTCGTGTACAGTTATTTCTAACGAGCTGACATGTAATCAATAGGGTTTTCAAAGGCTTTGCCTATTATCCTTACCAAATAAACTGAATAAATGCAGATGGACCATCAACAATATACTGATCTTGTTTACTGGTTATTATCTATTATTATTTTCCCTTGTTTATGAGTCCCCCTTTCCTATGTACCCTTATAGTTAGTCCTATTTAAGCGACTTGTAATATAGCCATTCTCTGAAATTCTTGCTTACGGTGGAAAAATATTTTGCTGGTGAACATTCACTTATGAACCAAACTATGCCTTCTTCTTAAGAACGGTCGTTTTCTACTGTTGTAAGACTTTGGAGAGCGCGGTCTAGGCTGATTTTTCGCTAAAAAGACTTTTTTGTGATACCTCATGGCATTTTATGAGTCATCACATCTACGGGCCTGCGGGGTCTCCAGGCACTGCGCCCTGAAACTAGGATAAAACGGCCCATTCCACCCCCCACCTGAGTACGCTTTTTTCACGGACTTTTTTCATTTGCCAAGTGTTAGTGGATTCTGTGGGCTTCTCTGGATAAATGTGGAAATGGTAAATTCAGGAGAACCCTGGTGGAGGATGGTGCAGGCACTTGACGCTCTGAGAGTCTTCTGAGGGCAACAAACGACGGTGGATGCAAACACAGTAGGCGGCCTAACGCATGAAACGCGATGATGGGGGATATGGACGATAATTTCTGGACAACTCCAACGTCCTTCACTTTACGTAGTCGCCTAACTCTTCTCTGAAAATGTTCTTTTTGTTCAAAATATTACTGAGCAATTTTATCAGCCAAAATGTCTAACATTTTGGGCGGAAATCTGCATTAGCTCATGCTGGACAATTCCCTACTTAAATGAGAGAGAGAGAGAGAGAGAGAGATAGAGAGAGAGAGAGGAATTCGCTTTATTTTGAAATCGTAAGTTTAAAATTTTAAGCAAAAAATTGGCTCCATTCACTACGGGCAGTAAATAAGTTAATAGATTATTCAAGAGCCAAAGTTTAACACAACATTTGAGACAACATTTGAGCACCCATGCGTGATTTTCTACGAGAGAAGAGTAATTTTATTTTGGGGTCTGGACAAACTTTAGGAGTAGTCGATTGGGAACCCTGAAAGCTGCAAAGTACTCGCTAACATCTTATGAACGCTCTTAAACTCACTGAACTCCGGCAGTTCGACCGTCGTTACCGACGAGGTCCATCGTGTGCTCCACAGAAAGCTAAGAGCAGGCACGGTGACTTGCGCGTGAATTAGTTTATAGTGATAGTGGACTTGCGCTGCATCTACCGCACTCTCCCCTCCTCCCCATCTGGACCCGATGTCAAGGCAAAGTCAAGAAGACCGGAGACGGGGGAGGGCGCAGGTGGATGTCACGGTCGGGCCCGCACCTTGGCTCCCTGGTCCACACAACAAATGACCAGATTTTTAACCAACAACAACAATGGGGAGGGCTGCAGAGATCCCAATGTGCGCGACCGGGTCTGCCACCGCACCCCGACTCATGGAACTCCACCGTCATTAGCAAGCACACAGTAATTTTACGGAAGACACTTCCTCTCGAGACACTCAAAACGGTATGTTTATTCCATTCAAATCTCTCAGTCATTGGCTGATCTGAAAACGTTTATTCTTGTGACGTCCCTTTCGGTGAAAACGGACGAAATCTTTTTTAACTTAGTCAGTCGCGTCTCAAACACGACAAAAAGAGGTAACATTAAAGCGATATTCTAGAGAAGTCGTTTTCGAATCTATACTTAAACAGTGCGCTGTTTAATACCGGCCACTCTTGACACTACATATGTGTGTAAATTGTACTAAAGAGCTATCTTTATCCGTGCTACCTACAGTGGATATGCTGTTTCATTAAAGGTTGACTTAAGTGCTTTAGCTGGTCGCGTCTCAAACAATGCAAAAAGAGGGAAAATCAAAGCGAAATTCTTCAGAAATCGCCTTTGAGTCTATAATCAGGCAGTACGCCGCTTGCTAACGACCATCCTTGGTATAACATTATTTTTTAAGAAGTAGAAGAGATCGCTGGACCCAGAGCTTTATCCGCCTAACGTTTCGGATTCACGTTCGAACCCATCATCAGGAGCAGTGACAGATACGGGAACATCTGCGTGTAAACTGTGCCAATGGACTATCTTTAAGCGCGCTACTTACAGGAGATATGTTACCTTATTAAATGTTGCCTGAAATTTTGAAATGTTTTTTTTCAATTCAAAAAGGTTCCTCATGTACGGTTGTCACACTGGCTGTCGTGTTGCATAATGCTAAGATATTCCAGTCACGCCAAGATTCCCGCTTTCGAATGAGCTTTTTAGCGACCACTGGCATAAACCGTATTCCGAAAAATGGCTACTTAAGTAGCATCATTTATTCTCGTTGATTTTTGACACCCTCATAAGTTCATATACATTTTACAGAAAAAATGCACAAACTATTCCATCTTTTACTCACTGGGTAGCAAATTAGGTCTTCTTCAAATCTTTTACTTTAAGAAAGAGTATCTCTCGGTTTTGAAAAATACTTTTTAACCCGACCTCCCTTTACATTTGCATCCAGGGTTTCTGAACTACAAACTACACACTGTTGAGACAAGGAAAATCACTCATTTATATATGCTATCATGAAGAGGACAAATATAACTCATTAAATTTTGTAATGGATGTGGACGACCATACTATCTACTTTATAAGTAGCCGTAATAAATACACTGGTGCGACGCTGTACTAGTGACCATTTGGCAGACTTGAAAAATCTCACAATGAGAAACTTTTTGAAACCGAAAGACGTTCTTTCGCGAAGTGTAAAATTTGAAAAAGACGGAAGTTCCCATTATATGAGTAAAGGAAGGAATTTTTGCATCTTTTCTATAAGATATGCCTTTATTCATAAGGGCGTCGAAAATCAATGGGAAAAATTCACGCTATTCGAGTAGTCATTTTTTGCGGAATATAACTTACGCAAACGGTCGCTAAAGAGCTCGTTCGAAAGTTGGCACCCTGAAGTGCCTGGGATACCTTGGTATTATGCGACATGAAAATTAACATGACGAATGATCAGGCTCCAAATTATTCGGCAATTAGAAAACTTTTAAAAACCTAATTATACTCCTTCCTTGAGCATAAAATATAAGTAAGAGGTGATTCTTCATTAATTGACTGAAAGAAAGCATATTTTTCTTATGGTTTTTTTATGGTTTCTATAAGACATATTTGAATTTGCAAGACCATCGAAAATCAATGGGAAAATTGGATGCTACTTAAGTAGTCATTTTTTACCGAGTAGGGTTTCTACAGGAGATTGAATAGCAGTGTATTCAAAATCTGACATCCTGCCGAGTCCGAAATATTACAGGATTATGCCACAGCATAATCAGTATTACATGAAAATTAACATGACAACCCTACTTAAGCAATCTTGTCGAATTAAAAAAGCATTTCAGAATTTCGGTAAACATTTCATGAGATGGCACATGGAGAGGTTTGCTGTACTTCTTAAACTTAAGTTTAATCGTGTGGCATGATTCTTCGCGTTTTCCCCATTTCCGCTACTCTTAAGAAGACCTTAGAGCCCTTCATTATTTATTGACAGTTTTGGTCGAGATATTTGAGCCAGTCCCCAAGTGGTCAAAGATATTTCGCAGATAAAGCAACATCCCAGGAGTCAGCACACGTACTGTGTGACAGCGGAATCACGTGCTGCTCTCTAGACGGTCGGTCCTGGTTGCGGAGGTGATTGACAAAGGATTTTTTGAGGACCAGCTCGAATATGGATCTATTCTCAATTATCTCTTGAACTGTTTTTTTTTCTCTTGGCTCGCGCAACTGTTTACACATTGGAAGATTGATAAGCAGGCTGGAGACTGCGAGCGAGAAAACGTAAAAGCGTATCTTTCCTTTTTTCAGTGCTAATTTTTTTTCGTTTCTTTCGCATCATCGATCGCTCCCCATTAATTCAGCAGTAATGAAGGTAGCCACATCGTCTCAGCCTCTTCAAGTTCATAACAAGGGATTTGAGTGTTAAAATACCGACCAAAATCCGTCCCGCGTCGGTTATTTCCAAATTCTGATAGTTTGGAAAGTTTCTATTACCGCCAGAATTGCTTGGAGCAGTTCCACGTGGTCACATTGTCGCGAAAAATGAGCTTGGCTCTGTATTCAGAGACGCGGCCTTCGGCAATCATAGTTTTTTTTATCGCCGTGCGGCCGAGACCTCGGAGTTGGCTGCGGGTGTGCCCGAGATAAATTTCATGACGCAACGATCGCTAAGGACGCTGCAGAGGCGTCTGCCGCTGCATAAACGCGATGAAACAGACGGACAGGAGCCAGTCAGGGGTGGCAGGGTCCCGGAAGTGGTCGACGTCTCTTTAATAACACCGCAAGCTGAAAACCAGGTGACCGTAGTTCCCTGGCATGTAAGAATAGAGTATTCAAACGACGCGGCTAAACTGACAGGTCTTTTGCCACACGCACGGCGTAGAGGAATCTCTTCGACTGATTTCCAATATATATTCCATGTTAAATTTCTGTCCATCTTGTACTACTTGTACTTGATACGGCTGCGGTCATGCCTGACCTAGCCGGCCTCGATGATGTCCCCAACTGTACCTCTCCACGCGTGCAAACCACGGCAGCAGATCTGGACAGCTCAACCCATTCCCTTCGCCATCGACGGAGACCGAATACCGAAGGTCCAAGAACCACCTCCACGTCTTGACGAACTGTGTCGAGCCAGGTTTTGAACTGACCCCCTCTTCGACGCCTCCAATGGGGCAACGGTGCCGGATCGAGGGCAGTAGCACTGAGCTCCTGAGGTGAACGACGAAGAACATGCCCGAACCACCTCAGTCGTCTTTCTTGGATGGCCTGAGTTATCCTTGCGATGTTGTCGCAGCGAGCGCGGACTGTCTCATTTGAGAAGAAGTCGGTGAACTTCACTCAAGCAGTGGTGGTCAAATACCTCCAGTTTTCGCTCGTCCTCCAAGCGCAAAGCCCAGCATTCACAACCGTCGAGAAGGACAGACCGGACAGATGCACGGTACACGTGAATCTTAGTGGCGATGGAGAGGTCGTGTCGGATCCATAGGCATTTTCTGAGGTTTGAGAAAACCCATCGGGCAGCATCAATTCCGGAGAAAATGTCGTCTTTACTCTGTCTACTCGGCAGCCGCCTCGCCCCGAGGTATTTAAAACTGTCTACTTCTTCAAGTTGACAGCCATCAACCCCGAGGAGTGCGTTCTCCCGATCAGGGATGCAGCTTGAAAGCGCTTTAGTCTTCCCAGCGCTTATGGATAGACCGACCGATTTAGCGACCTCGTTCACCCGTGATACCATAGACTGCAGATTACCAAAACTTGAAGCAATTAAGGCGATATCATCGGCATAGTCGATATCAGTCAGTCGGTGTCTGGGTGATAAGATGTACCCCTGTCGAACGCCAGACCGAATACCGAATGGTTGGGAAAGATTGTTGCGGACCAGGACTCTCGCAGTAATGGAGCGATAATACGCCCTGATCATGGCGATTATTTTTGTCGGTACACCATCTAGCGCCATTATCCGTCACAGGAAGTCACGATGAACGGAATCAAAAACGGCGGCAAAGTCAATGAAACAGACGGCCGTCGGTTGTTGAAATATGTCCCATCTTTCTGTCCATCAGGCTTTATTAATCGTTCTCCTCGCCCGTCAAGACAAAATGGCAACTTCCAAACTTTAGGGTGTTTGCAGTCATCTTAATATGCTTTGGAGAAGACATTTTATCGAAGTCAAACATCTTCAAATAAGAGCTCTTTCCTGTAGTCGCAAAGTGTTCAATTACTTGTAAAAAGCCATTTCTACAGACAGTTTGTGTTAGGAACCTTTTTTCTGAGTTTCCATGCAAAAACACCGCCAACGATATTATTGTCAAGTGCCTGTTGGCCGTCTATACGTCGAGAACCAAAGGGTCAAATGTGTTTTTGTGCAGAACATTGACATTTGAGGCGGATTATAGGTTGTCCTGTTTATGACGCTGTTTGTCACTCACCTTCAGCAAGGTCATCAAGATGCCAGCAAAGCCGTGAGCAGCACCCAGATACGCCTTGCCATGCCACTGAAACATCAACGGTGGGCATCTCAGGGCCCACGGTTTGATGAGGTCCTGATAGGTCCCATTGGACTGCATCTCCTTGCTCAAACGGCGTCCCTCGCACAATATCTGTTCAACAACCTACGGAAGAAAAAGTGTACCCAATTCGTTGGGATGAAGGAACTCTGGGAGTTGAACGTGATTAGACGTGCAGTCTGAAATAATCAGAAGTCGGTGGCAACAATGTCGTGGTACGATTTACGTCCCGGCAGTGAGCTCCAACAGGCCGTCATGGAATATGACAGGAGGATAACATGAAGGGTGTTTCGGACCACACATTAAATATGACAGCACCCAAAACAGGCGGGAATTTATAGCATCCGCTTGTAGTTTAGGTATAGTCTGAAGTCCAGAAAAATATCTTTGGGGTACAGTTGCCTTAACTACTATCCGAATGTGTTAAGTCGCCGAAGTAGACAATGGAACAAGCCAAGTACCAATAGTAAAAAAACAGCAACCTCTGCCAGAATAGAAAGTAGAAGGGCAAAAAAACTCGATCCCTTATCCGTGTCCACGCCAAAGGCTTAGTGATTTCTGTCGTCAATGGAGAAAGTGATGAAGATTCCAGCATCAGGTGTCTCAACTGAAGACACCTGAAGGTAGGATCGAATCAAAATAACCAGTGTCCCCCAGTCTAACCTCGGCCAGCATCTAACTCAGTAACTGAATTTCAAGCAGCCGAGGCAGCTGTCCTTCATTCTTTTGGTTGTCCTCTTCAGTTGAACCCTCCAACAATTTCTAAATGACATCCTATCTGACATTGTCTCGGATTAAAGGTCTTCTCGAGGTTATGCCTCCATATCTGGAGCACGGCAAACAACCCACATATGACCGCATGAAATGAGACCAGGTTCTTCCTTACCGAGTCAGCTATCGGGACAACTGAGTAACATGGGATAACCGTTTGGAACTTTATTCACTCTAGCTGCATGTGTGAAGGCATGTCAACGCACAAAATCGAAGGGGGTACACCACCATCTTCATGACACACCTTGGAAAAAATTACTTGCTGGAGAACCATGACGCAAACGCGATATACATAAAAGAGGAATGGGTTGGACTGAAAAAGTCACTTACAGTACTAATACAATTTACAGGCACATCGTAGCCAGCATCTAAAAGTAGCAGCAAGCAAGCGAGGTAGCCGGCCCGACCATAGAGAAGTTCGTTCGGCATGTCTGAGGAGGATGGCGCGGTGGCATACCGCTCACATCTTACAATCTTGTCAAAGCAGGCGGAGCAGGCCTTCTTTATCGCAGGCTCAGCAATTTGTTCGCGATGAAACAGGGCTCCAACGAGACAGGGCCCCACATAGTCGCTTGTGAGAACGCTAACATTTTTGAAAAGTTTGGATTTCTCGCGGTTATGCACCGTCTCTACAACAAGAGACTGAGCGCGAGTGACGAAATCCTCCAACTGCAATGCACTGACGAGATCTGGCGATTGTTTCAGACGCAAACCAAGAAGGAGGATTCCTTGAAAAGACATCAGAGGTGAGCGTAGAACTTTCAATGAGGAATGAAGTAAATTGTTGCCCTTAAATCTGCGAAAGATTGCTACCAAAAAGTGGTGAGTCAAGCCTGGTCTAAAGCATGTGTGTAGTTGTGCAGACTAGTAGGGCGAATCCAAACGGCACGATGAAAAAAACCTGCAGTTACTCAAGAAACTCATATAAAACTAACAAATTTACATTATTTTTAAAATGAAAATGCTTAGTTTAGCCGATCAACCGGTAGTGAGACACTATCTGACATACCTGTATAAAATTCATGGTGAGAAATAATACAAAATATGAATCGTAAAGTGGTTTTTCGAAGACTACAGCAAAATTTAATTGAAAAAAACATAAACTTCACATATCGAGTGTGAGAAGCGGCAAAATGCCACAACTTAGCGGCTCGGACTAAGGCCTAAGGTTGTAGTATGGGCTACTTCTCTCACTAATGGGAAAGGGTCAGCCGTAGCAAGAGCACTAGAAATGTTTACGTAGTGAATTACACAACAACCCGTATTCAATCCTTTAGGTAGACCATGAAAATGTTGCGGTCCTCGATAGAAACATCCCTCCAAACTAAGATACATAGAAAATAGGCCCGCCAGTCGAATCTCAAAATATTTAGAAAAGCATTTGCCTTTTGGGACGCGCCTATTAAGTTGAAAGCTCCTACATTTTACTTATAAGCAAATGCATGGAGATCTTTTACAAAAATCTCGCGTTTAACGAGCACGGCTGGACACGAGAAACGTCTACCTCTACCACGGTGGTCAAACCATGGAGTGTTATCTCCGCAGATGTTGTCACCATCGTTGAAAATTTTTACTGAGGATGTCGGCCGATGTCTGTTTCAAGACAAGTCTGGACGACATGAGACCAAAGTTGACTTCACCCGGCCATTATGTACACAGTATCGTGTTCAACACCACAACTGCTATGCTCAAAGACTTACGCCTACGGTTTCCTCAATAAAACTGGCAGAGCCGAGTCGAAACTTCTCCAATAAAAAAATAAGAGTGTGGTTAACGACACTTGACTCAGTAAAAAAGCCTAAAAATGGCACCAAATGCACCATTTATTTTTTGGGTAAATATTACTTACCTGAGAGGCCGGTATAAATGGAAAGGTCTCTGCAAGATGAGCGGTAATCCTCCAAATGACCTTCGAGATAAGTCAACAATTTTTTCAAAGCTGGCCTAAGGAAAAGTTGAAGATCGGCCACAATCTAAAGGGGACGAAGGGCTTTGTCAAAAATCTAAATAGGTCCAACATCTTTCTCTTCCTTGTGGGGAAAAGTTGATTGGTAGTTCGTGTTCTCATAACTTCTCGACATACCCTTAAGCCTATTCGGTTTGTCGTGTGAATTTCAACTTAGTAAAACATATCTATGAGTTTGTCGGATGGCAGTGCAAGGATTTGACCAATTTTTCAGTCCAAACACTTAAAAGCTACCTGGCTCAAAGGCTTCTAGTTGAACTAATGCCGTGTTACTAAATTTAACAGGGGTGGAAAACCCAAGTTTAAGATTAGAGTGCTCAAAGAACAATAGGTGGGTAAGGGAATGCGTGTCAACGTTTCGCTTAGGGGGAAAACATCACCCGAAGACTAGTATTGCAGAGAAGTAATTCCAGTGGCTTAAACGATTAGCTAACAATATGGAGTGTCGCCAGATAAAGTGAGGATTTTCTGCTGCATAAGTATAGCATGTAAGACCCACGCTAGAATTGCAGGAGGAACCTTTCGAAGTCTAGTAGCCGGGTGTTTTGAAACGAGCGGAGAATAATAACTTTACCCCACTTTTTTCAACATTTTATTCTGAATGTCGATAATTTCAGTTTAGTTCAATTTGTTGAGGCCACTAGACGTGAGCCTTAGTGTACCATTTTGCAACGTAAAAGTGGATGCAGTGTACAGTGAAATCATAAGGGCTGAAAAAGTTCAAACGCACCCATAAAAGTATGACAAACTGGGTGTTAATCTCAAGAGGTGAGCTCGATCTCTCATCACATTTGCTATCACCACAACATCTGCTGGTGATACATTCCTTGGTTTGACCACTCTAACAGAGGAGGAGAACTTCCAAGCAAACCGTCTTGCCTGCTGAATGTGCGCTTTAATTGGTGTCCCCGTAAGTTTTTCGTAGTCGCAAATTCAAAAAGCCCTCAAGGACCAGGCTGAAGTCTAATCCCTTCACAATTCGAATGTTTGTAAAAAGTCCCCAAACAGTTGCTTGTAACCCATTGGAAGAAGGTTTAGATTTATTAGAGGGTCTACCATAGAGAAAAGGGCTCTGAGCACTAACTGCTTTTGTGGGTTTCATTCAAACACTTTTAAGACTATTTTGATCTTGATCCACCCAAGGTCTTCAGGATTGTATGCCGTACTCCAAGTGCGGCCGCACGAATGTTCCGAAAGTCTTTGAGAAAATGGCTTTATCAAAATCCATAAGTGCACGCCTGATGGCGTACAGTACAGACATTGCGCTTTTTACCACTTTCGAAAAATTAACATATGGTTTTAGGAGGTCAAGGTCGAGCCGCTGGTTTTGAATTTGAAAATAAGTTGAAGGTATTATTTTTAGTGCTTTTCTAACAGACACAAAGATTTTAGCCCCTGTTTTTGATAAAACTTCCTTAAGTTCAGGCCTATTCACTCAAAATTACCAGTTGCCATTGCTTTTTTAGTTCTGCTAATCTGTGCAAGTTGACCCCCAGTGGCATTCAGCAGTTCTCATTTTGTGCATTCGATTTTTTCTGACTGTGTGAACTTTTTTAGAGCGTTAGCCTCTCGCTAAAATTCAGTCACCTGATCTTCAAATGTTTGCGTAACTGTAACTTTCCTCGAGACAAGATGACGAAAAAGTCACAGGTTGGCCAAAGCCCTCGGCCTATGTACCTAAGCATGCCTTAACTTGATCTAGATCGGAGAGCATTGCTAGTAAGTCGGCACACGTTGTTACTGATGGGCGGCTTAATCTACCGGCTCTTTATGACCACAATGACTTTATACTAGAGATTGTCATTCTGCTCTTAGTTCTTGGAAAATTATTCGACGGAAACATCTCCGATGTTCCCTCTCAAGAATGTGGACGGCTTCACTCACTTGTTCATCTGCTCGGTCAGTTGATGTTGCCACCAATTTCCTGTACTCGTGTGGTTTCAAGTACAAAATGCCTATGCAAAACGCTTGTCCTCCCGGAGCAAAAATTCGCCCGTTTTAGACAAATTATTTTAAGCAGTCGAGGTTGACACAGTCTTTGCCCATCGAGCGTATCTCTGCGTACCTGGAAAATGCAACATTTTTCCTTTGTCATGATCTTCCTCCCATGGAGCGTAGAATCGGATCCCTCTTCTCAAATAAAACCACTGCCTCTCACTCAAATCTTCACGAACTCGGGCAAAATGCAATTGGTCGTGATGATTCAACTGACCCTATTCCTGCAACATCTGACTCTCACTTTACCCTTACTCCTACATTTCCATCTCACTCAGGACACTTGATGCATATGCCTGCCTCTAGATTAGCAGTAGCAGTCCCGTTTTTGCCCCTAATCCTTCTGATAGTCTCGTGAGTTGCATAAAAATCCGTCTACAGCAGCTAGATCAATACCCTACCCACTTCAGCGGGATTCTGCAAGTTCTACATTTGGGTCACCTGTGGCATCACGTCAGAACTGCATGGTCACAAAACTGAATCTAACTCCGGACTAAAAGAAAGGTAACACAATTTCATTTCTTATCTTAGATCTACCAAGCCTTTACAGCCCAGCACGTCTACAATCCCCGCAGCTCCAATTAGATCCCTGAACAATTCTCTGTCCCGCGCACCGGTTACCTACCCAAACCCTACTATATAAATTACTGCCCATCTACTACGCTTAAGCAGATGGCGTTCTACATGGCAGATGGAGTTTTCATCGTCCAAGTGTAGTTTCGTGTCTTTTGGTCCTGCCAAACTTTCTGGCCCCATAATTTTTGAAAAAAACCCACTCTCAGAATGCTTCACCATAAAGGACCTAGGTTTAAGTGATACAAATAAACTTGCTTTATCACCTCACACGCATAATTCTTCCCACCGGAATTGAGCTTAGACTTTATCAAATGATTGTTCTTCCAGTCCTCGAATACTGTTGTCCTTTCTTTGGTTTAATGAATGCCTTTGACCGCTATAAGATCGAAAATGTTCAGAGGGTTTTCGCCCGGAAACTGTTCTCTCAAGTCGCACCCGGTACTTCTTATACTCAGAGATGTCAGCTGGTAAACATTAAGTGTTTGTGGGTTAGAAGACTCGAAGCTGGCCTTTGCTTCATTTTTCGCATCAACTCCAGCTCCAATCTTCCGCTCATTAACACTCTCACTCTAAGAGATCGGTCTTATGCCACGCGCAACTCCTGCATGGTGATTCCGCCGCCTCATTACATTACATCTGGGCGCACCCTCTTTTTTGCTTCCAAATATGCCTTCCTTTGGAATAAATTTCCGCCAGAAATAATTTCATCGCCTCAGTTATCGGTACTCAAATCGAAATTACGCAGACGCCTTACAGCGGAAAGTATAAAGGCACTTTTAACGGTCTCAGTCCCAAACACTCAGCCTCTTGACTCCGAGAAGGGTCCTCCCGGGATTTAGTGGTAGATTTAGTGACTTGGTTGTAGATCAAGTGGAAACCTTTATTTAGATCTTCACAACCCCCTGTTTTTAATTGGCTACTAAGTCCACTGCTACCACTCGTCCCCCATAGCAACGATTTTCGCGATTCTTGATGTCATCTCCCGCATTTAGACCTCAGACGGTCCGTCGATGCGCGCGACGGAACCCCCTGTATTCGCCGCCTATTAGTAGTTTGGTCGTACCTCCCTTGCTCACTCCTCGGCTGGGCTCCTTGCGGAATGTGGTCGATCGCGTATGGGTTCCTCTCATCTGGCCACCTTGTCGCGAATAGTCTCATTCGGCGTATCAATTCTACCCTGACGATGTACGTTCTGAATTCCGTATACAATAACACATGCAGACCTGTTTTGTCCTACCCGCCTACGTACCCCTCAAGGCTGACATTTAATTCTGCCCTGACGATGTCCGATTATAATCCGTTGTATACCGCCACATGCAGGCCAGTCGTGCCCGCACTTTTTTGTTATTATTAGCTAGGATTTTTCTCCTGCAAAATTAATCCAATCGTTTTTTAAGTGGGCTTTTTTTCACCGCTCACTCAACGTTTTTCTTAGCGGACTATAAATTCGGAAACTATGAATTGGATTTTGTACAGATTCTGATCGCCTCGTTTAAAATTCATATGTAAATTTATTTTTACTTGCTTTGATGGGACCCCGACGGGTTCTTCATAAGAAATTATTATTTAACTTTAGATACCGATAGTTAATGTGACGACGCAAAATCCGGCAATAATAATAGTTTTATTTTTAGGCCCCCGGAGGGCACTATTCACGCAATGTTTGCGCTGACTTAAATAACATAGTATAGTTCATGGTGTACCCAGCTGGTCATCGTTTGGAATTCTCCACGCCCTCTTCGCAACTGCTTCCACATTTGACCCCTGCTGATATTCCCCTTCCTCCTTTTTGTAACTCTCTTTCGAGCATGATCGGCGTTCTTTTAATTAACTAGTTTTCTTCTTCCGTCCTTGAGCTGGGAATTCGACTTTCTCGAACAGAAGCAAAGGATTTTTTTGTCTATGGCATCCATTGTTGAGGTGTGTGTGTTTTTCATTATTGCCGTATTCCATCAGCAGTACCGTATATACACCGAAATCTGTTTCGGTTTATATGCGTGACTCAATTTACCAAGATGCGAGAGCGGTCATTGAGGAGTGCGTCACACTGCCCTCACCGTTGGCTTATTCAAGAGCACGGGAAATACTGAGCAGTTTATTTGACCAACCACATGTAGTGACTAATGCTCTTCTGGACGGTGACTTCAGCAGGCACGCCAAGTCAACCAAACCGCAAAGGCCCTTTCAGATTTTTGCATAAAAATGAATGGTTGGGAAATAACGCTCACACAAATGAATTACATGTCCGACCTTAAATCACTGAGTGTCCTAGAATGAATAGGGCGCTTTTTGGCGTTTTTTACGCAGATCCAATGGGCTCAAGCTGCCGACAAAATATCTATGAATGATAGAGACCCGGACTTTGCAGACCTCACGGAATTCGTAAATGCTCGAGCTAGGATAGCGAGAAGTCGTTTCGGACAATTATCTCGAGATGGGGATGTCAAGCGTTCTCAACAGCTGTTTACGGCCACAGCTTAACATCAAAAAACGGGAGAACCCTAAAAATTTTACCATTTTGAGTGTCGAACCAGATTGACGGCC